GTGTGGCCAGCTCAGCCCACCAGGGGGCGGGGCTGGCTGGCATGTGGTGCTGGGGGATTGAACCGCGGTCCCTGTGCTTTGCCAAGCTTGTTCTAAGTAGGTGCCTTAGACCACTGAGCCATCTCGCCAGCCCCAGTGCAGGGAACTTATGATACCTCCTCTCACTAGCTAGAATTTGGAGATAAGCTGAAAGTTGCCCAGACAGGGCTCAAACTTGTCAGCCTCCTAGAGTACAGAGTTTACAGGCATGTACCACCATGCTGTGCTGATAAATGCCTTTAGATAAACAAGGTAGCTCTCACACTAGCTGGGCTGGTTTTGTTGTTGTTGTTTGTTTGTTTTGTTTTTGGGTTTTTTTGGCAGAACCAGGGATTGAACTCAGGTCCCTGTGCTTTCCAGGCTAGTGCTTATTCCACTGAGCCATCTCCCCAGCCCCTGGGATATATATATATATATATATATTGTGTGTGAGTGTGTGTGGCCAGCTCAGCCCACCAGGGGGCGGGGCTGGCAGGCATGTGGTGCTGGGGGATTGAACCGCGGTCCCTGTGCTTTGCTTAGCTTGTTCTAAGTAGGTGCTTTAGACCACTGAGCCATCTCACAAGCCCCTAATTAGAGCTCATTTTTTTGTTTTATGTTTTATTTTCCCAGTACCAGGGATTGAACTCAGGACCCTGCACTTGCCAGGCAAGCGCTTATTCTACTGAGGTATATCCCCAGCCCCAAGCTGTTCCCCTGGGTTGTTTTAATTATTATTATTATTATTTTTTTTCCGGAACCAAGGATTGAACTCAGGTCCTTGCACTTGCCAGGGAAGCGCTTATTCCACTGAGCCATTTCCCTGGCCCTTGTTTTAATAAGTTTTACTGAAGTGAATCCCAAAAGAAGATGTGTTGATTTCCTTTGCCTCTTCCCACTATCCAACCCAGAAGCCCTTAGAAGAATACTGTGAAGGCAGGAAATGGTGCATCAAGAAGAAGATAAGCAGGGGCTGAGGAGATAGCTCAGAGGTCTAAGCACCTGCCTGGCAAGTGGAAGGACCCAGGTTTGATCCCCAGTACCACATGCCATGCTGGCTCTGGAACCCCGGCACATTGTGCCAGCCACTGAAACTGGGAGTGGTGGCACACACCTGTAATCCCAGCCTTGGGGTGGCTGTGATAGGAGGATTACTAGGAGTCTGAGCTGCATACAAGATCTTGTGTCAAATTTTTTTTTAATTTTTAAAATTTTAGGGCTGGGGAGATGGCTCAATAGAATAAGCGCTTCCCTGGCAAGCGCAAGGGCCTGAGTTCAATCCCCAGTTCCTCCAAAAAAAAGAAAAAAAAAATCATTTATAGGGGCCAGGGAGATGGCTCAGTGGCATAAGCGCTTCCCTAGCAAGCGCAAGGGTCT